CACAATTTTCATTACTTTTCTTCACATTTTCACATCACAAACTTATATATATAATATATATACATATCAATTAAAATCAATAACTTTTTACAAATCAATTTTCATGTTAAAATCATTTATAATATCAAATTATGCACAAAACTTTTCAAAACCCCAACTTTATCATTTGTATTTACTTCTACACAGTTATAATAGTTAATAAACACAATAAATTATATGGTTACCTCAGCCTTTTGTTACACAAAAGAGTTATCGTGGCTCAATGTTAGTTTCACATGTTCTATATGCATGATAAAGCTCAAGCAACACTCAATCTACACAATCAAGTGACAATCATTAATTATCACTCTGGTTAACTTTAAATTCACTAAATTCTAAGTGCCTATAACACCCAATTTCCTTTTCTCACAACATCAACCATTCTCAAACACTCTAACCATCCTATTAAACATCCCACCACACCAAAATCACTAACTAATATCTCACATTATCTCAAAATCTTCAAATTATACCTAGGGTTCATCCAAACCCTTACCAAAAATTCCTAATCTCCACAAAACTCATAAACTTAGGATTAGAGACTTGATTTAACTCTTCAAGACCTTAAATAAACTAATAGGTTCGGTTAAAACCCAAATCAAAGCCCCAATGTCTAGATTTTTTGCATAATGAAGGAGAAAAGGGAATGTACGACTTACCCAACAATGATTCAAGCTCCAAATGCCTTCAAAATAGCCTAGGGATCGTGCCGTAGCAAACCACAAGCTCTTCTCCATTGCTCTCTCATTATCCCTCTTTCTTCTTGCTGTTTTTCACTTCTGATAAGTACAGACTTTGCACGTGCACCGTGGTACATTGACAAGCCCATCGCCACACATGGCACATAAAATCCCACAAAATTTTTAAAATCTCTTCCATGCCATGGCCTGCTTAAACATCAACCTAGCCCTCTTCTAAGGCTGTTCAAGGATTCAAAAACCATATTAGTCTCCCATAAACTTTGCTAAGTCAACCATTTATCTAAATTAACCAAATTACCCTTGAAAACATTGATAATTACTAATGAAAAAACTTAAGACGTTTTAGTGCTAGCCCTATGCACAGGCCAACGCATGTGGAATGGAGGGATGGATATTCGTGAACATTGTACTCACACTTGTTTCGTAAGCTTAGTGTCTACACTTGTTTCATGACTTTTAGCTGTGCTTGATTATTTTGTGGCTTTAAACTATGCTTGCCAGTGACTGGATTATGTATTTATCTTGTTGGTGATTTACCCTCATGGACTATATATCCATGCTTGTTAATCATTCTGATTAAGTCCCACTAAAGAAGGAAATTTTGAAATTATTTTCTTTAAATTTGATTTCAGAAAGCAAATTGCTATTTTTACTATACATGAATTTATATTGAGCAGTATATATATATATATCCCAAGATGTTTAAGTATGTGTAAAAATTTAATACTTTGAAATTTTAATAATTTTTATTTGTATTTATGTGTTTATGGTTTATATAATTTTCAATTGATTAATTTAGTAAATTTATAATTAATTCATTGATTTGCTTTTCATTTTGTTTCAACTATAATTGGGATGCTACTCACCGAAAAAATTTTATTTGGTCCCATATATTGAAATTGTCCCTGCACCACGTACTGATCAATTAGGGATACAATTGCTTTTTGAAACCATGGAAGCATGCGTTAGTTAATTTTAATGTAAATATATTTTGTATTATGAAATGTTAACTTATCGCTTCACGTATACCGTAGTTAAGTTCTAGTCTTATTTTATTATTGTAAAATCTACTAGTGTGTAATTAAGCTCCTTTTTGATTTGGCTGATAAGCTTTGTTGTAGTAGAAATTTTGGGAGGTCCTAATTAGAGGGGAGACTCTATCAAAATTTTTACAGAATGATTAACACTTTACGAATCTTAAATTTAGACATAAATTATATACTGCTATCTTGAATTAATTTGTTAGCTAATTAAGGCTTATGGAATATGAGTCTATGTCATATTCTGTACAAATCACACCCTCAGTATTGAGGTGTGACACCTGCCATACTTGTTCGTGGCTTTTTGGGAGCGCTTGATTGGTTACTTACTCTTGTAGACTGTATGTGCGCACTTAATCAGTTACTTACCCTCATAGACTATTTGTCCATGCTTAATTTATTATTTACTTCGTGGACTGTGTGTTCACATGTTAACCTCTAGAAGTTCATATTATTTCATCACATTTTTCTTATATTCTAATCCATTTTGACTCAATTGTATATGTTTTTATTGCCCAAATTAGGAAAATGTGCATTTTGTTTTGGGTTTGTATTCTTAGCTTTGATTTGATATTTTTGGCCTAATTTTATGTTATTTTGGTTATAGTTTAGATTAGAAGCATTTCTGGAGCTTTGTGGATATTTTTGGAAAGCTTTTGGATGAAGAAATCAAGCACAAAATGAATAATTTTCGTTAGCTTCAAAAATAGTGCGAAACTGCCAAAGTCGTCCTAAAGTTGTGACTTTCATTCGTTACTTTCACCGCTATTAGAAAAATGCTGCATTTCATTTATTAAAAATTGGTTGGCTAGGACATATATATGCTGAAAGCTTAACCCAGAATGCATTCTTCAAACTTTTAGACACATTTAGAGCTCGGTTGTGCTAGGGTTTGGGCATTGGAAGAGTTGGGATCAAGAGATTGAAGCTTTGAAGACATTTGGAGCTCTTTTTCTTTGGTTTTTCTTTTTCTCTTCCCTTTCCTATCTTGTAATCTAAAATGGGCCCACTTATTTTATATATTTGTAGCTTGTGGATAATTATGAGTAGTTAAACCTTTTGTTCTAAGATTATTTGGAACCCTTGTATGGATTAACACTACATTTCTCCTCTCTTTTTATGATTAATGATGTGTGTGTGTGTGTGTGTGTGTGTGTGTGTGTTTATTTTATTATTTCCTTAATACTTCTAAGTGATTGGTCACTATTTAGATGTTGGGTTCACTTAATTAATGCTTGAAAGGGTTAGATTGAGTGTAGAACTTGGGTAATATTGTGCAAGAACTTGATATTTGCATGTTAAATGGATGGTTTTGCTAGTAAGATAGAGATATACTTGCTAGCCTTGCATAGCCATATTAGGGTTGGTGTTTGAAATTGAGTTTTATTAATTTTAATAAGAGATTGGGCAATTAATTTAACTAAACACTTGTTCATGACTTGAGAGAGCTTGTCCAAGTATTTTTAGAACCGTAAGTTAGCACTTATTTTTTATTAAAAGCATTTATGAGAGGAGGTTATTTTGGTGTTATGAAATGCAAAGGGAATAAATAATCTTAAGTCTTAATTTGTGTTTGAAATTTGTAAATCCATCACTTTTCTTTATTTTCTAGTGTTAGTTTCATTTGTAAAATTATTTTCACTTAACTATGTATAGCTCAACTTGATCGAATTTGCTTAGTCTTTTGTTTGATCATTGTTTTTAAACAAATTTTTGAGGAAACGATACTTTATTTTCATTATATTACTTGCTACGATCCGTGCATTTGTGGTGAACAACACCACGCTTGTTATTCATTCTGATAAAGCCCTCATAGGTTTGAATTAAAAATTTATTATTTTTATATTATTCGTTTGAAATTTTTATATTTTATGAACAGTATAAATTTTAATAAATTATTGTTTCCTATTATTATTGTTCAATTTCATATTTTATTATTGAGAAAACTCATTTTTTATTATTAGTTTAAGTACATGTTTCATTATATCGTTAATTTTTAAACTAAATTTATTCATTAATTTCTTCATATTATATATATATATATATATATATAATTGAAACATTACTTCTCAAAAATTTACTTGGTTTCAGATATTATAGTTGACATTGCATCTCTTACCAATCATTGAGAGGCCCCATAGTTTTTTAGACAATGGAAGCACAGGTGCACAACATGATCATCTCTTTTGATGAAAATTTATATTGTATTATAAGTTTGTAATTTAGTGCTTTACGTGTACTATAGTTAGATTCTAATTTTAATTTGCCAGATGTAATTTGTTAGAATAGAGCTAGTCTCCTTATTAAATTGGCTAACAAGTTTTGTTGTTATAAAAATTTTAAGAGGTCTAAATTACAGGGAAGATTATGTCGAAATTTGTGCAAAACACTCAAAACTTTACAAGCTATTAAGTTTTATTCTCTTGTCAGGGCTCAAAGTCATCTGTTTTACTTTTTTCCATATTCGCTCATTTAAAATCAATAATGTCACAAATTTTTTTAGGTAACTTGAGACAAGAGAGAACATATGTTAGAGACAAATAGTACAGATTTGATAAGTATGAGCCTTGAGGCCTATGAAAGAACTTTAGATTTTCAAGAAGCAACCCTTCAATCAACAAATTCCAGGACTTGCTCTACGATCTATTGTTTGTCTTTAGCTGCATCAATCCAACTTCTCAAATACTTACCAAAAGAGGGAGAACATTGTATACCAAAGAATTCTAAGAGTTCTTCTTGAGTTTCCACTAGTATATTAAGACTTAAAAGAAGTGAAGACTTGAAAAAGTTCATCTGAACCAATAACAAAAAGCATCAATAATATCCTTTATTACCTGAACATTGGATCCAGTATACTCAAAGATGGCTGAATCATCAGCATAATTTAAGTGTGATATTGGAAAAGAGGATTGGCAAATTCATATGCCATGGAAGGATCCAAATTTTTCTGCTTAAGTCAGAGATAAAGATGCATGGAGAGAGAGGGTCACCCAAGCTCATACCATTTCTAGGAAAAATGGATTGAGTCCGTTGACTATTGAACATGATATTGAACTTCTGTTTCACATGTTCCTTGTCGCTAATAAATAATATTAGCCATATTTCATATTATAAATAAAATACACAAATATCCAATGACTTGACAATCACGAACGTAACGTAATTTAGCGGTAAGAAATCAAATTTTCTAATAAACAATTGAAATCTGTGATAACAGAAGTTGAGAATTTAAAATTGCTATAATATACATTTACACCGGAATTATGGTCCATAAACTTTACATTGGTATTGAAGCATATCCTAAAATGGTCTTGCAGAACTTTAAAAGAGCATCTAAAAATCAATGAACATTAGCTACCAAACGTATCTAGACATGACCTTAAAATATAGTCCTCGAAAACCTTCTGCAGTATAAATAAAATATATTTAAAGATACGCCACAAAAAATATCTAAACATGGCCCTAAAATGGCCTTGAAATATCTAAACTTTCTGCGGTATTGTTCATATTGAAAACCAATTCACATAATATAATCCTCCTTGTGAAGCAAGCCATGCACCAAGAGGATAGTCATTCATGTATTTGTTTACCACCACTGGATTAAACACTGCACAATCCAACCACCAAGCTTATAAAATGGCAACAGAGATTCATACGGGACATAAGGATTTTTTTTTAATATAAAAAAAAAAAGGCTCAAATATTTTTAGTCCCGCTGTCTTGTACAAGTTCCAATTCAATTTTTCTAATTCAAAAATAAGCAATATTGCTCTGGAATAATCCATTAGTAAGTTCATGGCTATCAAAAAAGTTATTAGGTTGGATCCCCTAAATCAAGGAGATATTTGAGTAAATTATTAAATTTACACTATTATAATTATATTTAGCCAGTTTAAATTGTCAATTTATATTTGAGGAAATAGAACTACTGGTCCCTAACTTAATGTGCTTTGGTATTAGTCTCTATACTTTTTTTCATTGCTCCAAGTCCTTAAGTTCCATTGTCTGCAATGTTAGTTTCTATATTTTTAAATATGACCATAAAGACTTAATGATGACTAATGCGTACATAAACTCGTTTACTTCTAGTGCTAACATGTTAAAATTATGATGAGTTGTGCAAAATACAGAGAACAAGGCAAAAAAAAAAAAAAAAGTAGAAGATTAAATCAAAATATTTAAATGTGAAATGGATGAAACTTCAGGATGTTGCTAAGACAAGAAAGAAATATTAGTGGCCATTTTGTTCAAACAATGTCCAACTTCATAATTTTTACCAACTTGTCAATAGAATTAATAGAGTTATGTAAACATCAACAAATTTAACTTTGTCAGTGATGAAAAGGACTAACATTGTAAAGTCGAAACTTAAGCTTTAAGGCACTCAGAGCAAAGGGAAAAAAAAAATTATAGGAACTGATGCCAACACATGCTAAAAGTATTTCCGCCAAAGAAACAAAAAAAAAAAGTGCTAAAAGTACAGGAACCAACAATTATATTTTCCTTTTTATATTTCTCATTTTAACATTTTTTATTTTACACTATGTAAATGACCGAATTAAAACAACCTTATAAGTGCAAACTAAAAAATATAAATAGATAGTTTTGAAAACATATGAAACTCAATCTAAATCGTCCAAATTTGGAAGGTTTAGATTAGATAATTCACTCAATTGAACATCTTCTCATATGAGGAAATTCAAGTTCATATTTGACTGGCTTGGACCTTCTTTAATCCCTAAGCAGTTTGGAATCCAAGTCAACCATATTGTCGAATAACATGTTAAGTAATGAATAAAAACGTGATAAAGGAGAAATTTTAGAACTGTCAAGAATAAGATTGAAAATTTTAAAAAGTAATGAATAAATAGGAGGGCAACATTACCAATAAACTCGATAGATAAGATCGAAACTTTAATGATAAAAGTATCAAAAGTGCTCTGAACCCTTTTCAAAAAAGAATAAAAGAAAAACAAGAAATAAAAAGGCAGAGTGCTCACCATTGTCTGCATAATTATATTTTCGAAAGCAGACTGTTGAAAGAACTGTATCAGAGAACTTGTCCTCAAATAGCAGTTCACCAGACTTGATACTCCATAGCCGTACATAGCAGTCCTCTCCAGCTAAAGATTAACTAAATCAGAAATTTGTAATTTCAAGAATGCCAATATGACAACACGTTGAGTTCAAATTCACCTGACATAACAAATCTCTCATGAGGATCAACCCCAAGCTGTATTCGAGTATGGGAATTTACATGTTCTTCATAAGATTGAACAGCACCCCTCTGAAGTAGGCGATGATCGTAGAGACACACCTAAAAATAAAAAGATCAGGTAAAATTCAGTACTCACATCCCCCCGGAACAAAGGAAAAATCTTAGCCACCCAAAAAAAAAAAAAAAAAAAAACAGAAAAAGAAAAGGTTCCATCAGAAGGACTGGAAATTATTGAGTTGATACGTGCATAATTCCCCCATCATTCATTCAATCCAGAACCATGGAATTAAGATAAAATGTAAGTTCTTGAAGCAAATAACATAGGGTGCCTAGTTTGATACAGGGCTTCTTTTCTATTGCAATTTCAATGGCTAGTTTCAATTCAGCTTCTGTAATACCAGTTCATACCCTTTTTATCTTTTTTTTTTTTTTTTTTGAAGTGTATCTTGAAGGGCCATGTAATAATAAGATGGATTTTTTGTTGGTTGAGCCTGTTCTAGCTATTAGGACGAATCCTTAATTTTGCTGTGGTTGAAATGCACTATCTGTAAGAAATTAATGAACAAAGAACTACTATAGCTTTGTTTAATTGACGATCAGCTTGAACCCTCTTTAGCACAAATCATATCATCATGAATTTCTCTTAGTAATTTGCCTAAAGCTTGTCACTTAACATCATTGATGAAACAGTTCCCTTTGGCATCAATGCAGTGGTGTTGCTACCTGCATCTATGTGCAGCTTCCCTCCTATCATCCCAAATTATACCCTATTTACGAGTTCCATTGTTCTCAAGGCCTGACACAATGAAAGATTCCAGAGTAGCATTTTTTTTTTCTCATTAATTTGAACAAACAATACATATGAAAGAGGGAGCCACAAGTCAACTCTTAACTTCCATGATTATAGGACTAATAAATGAAAAAATAAATCATCATAAAATCTGAGATAAAGGAAACTGAAATTCTATATAATTCTATATAATCGATATGGATCATAATGGCAAGACAGAATCAGATTTAGGAGTAAATAGGCTCTGATAGTTGCCCACCAAAAGGTTTAACAATAAGAATAACCCAGGCTATTTATAGAACTGAGGTACAATAGTAATATCAATAATATTTATTTATCCTTAAATAACTTAAGACAGGGCAACAGAAAAGCTAACCAAAATGTATTACTAAATATAGAAATTAAAAGATAAATAAACTTAAATTAAAATCTCCAAATTTCCTATCAGCTGTTCTTCAAAAGCTAAAATAAGCACGGAAGACAAAAAATCTAAAATATGCACAGAAGTCAAACTCTTAAAAAAAAAAAAACAAGCCTGAAGTGTGTGTGGACAAATTAACTTTTCCACTCAGCAAGCAATGGAAAGCTTATAAGGAAACATTATATCCATAAAGGGCGGAAATGCAATTTATAGCAGGAGAAATTCATGTAGACGACTATTAATTAAATACCATCCAATACCATGAGAAAATAGATTTAAATGAAACAAACATAGGTTAACAATATCATAGAAATGCACTTACTGATCCATCCATCGAGCTTGCCAAGAAGTACTGATCATCAAATTGAAGTGACACCAAACTAGTTTCAATTTCACAGAAGAAATTACATCAAAAAGCACAAGTCCAAACAATGAATTACAACTCATGTAAAATACATGAAGTTCAAACAGACAATTGGAATAGCGAAAGCTATAACCAACCAGGATATAGAGGAGGGCATTCTAGTGGTATAAGAAGCAGCCGTGTCGCCAGTGAGCTGCAAAAGGAGAGCAGCACAAGCTTATCCACAACAATTCACTAATGCACATTCATGTAAACTTGTTCACTTAGGGAACAGGATTAACCAAAAGATTTCAGAAATTGTAGTACAGAAAAATAACAAAACCCATCAAATTATAAATTTCACATGGTGGATTTAAACTTTGATCAACAGATGGCCAGAGAAATTCTTTGATGCATGCCAGGGAAACTAAATTCACTAGAACATGGGATGATCACTCAGGATCAAAAAATCTCGTTCAAAACAATATAGTTCTAGTTAATAATTTAGCCTTTCAAGTTTAACCTAGTTCTAACCACATCCTTATACTTTAAATTTACAATATTTGATTCTAACTTGAGAACAAACGAGTCATGATTGAATGAACCTAGTTCTCACATATCACATGCAAGTCTTCTCTTAATTTTCAACCTATTTGGTTTATGGAGTAATATTGTGTCCCTATTTAGCTGTAAGTTCTGGTTATATAACTAAACAATTGTGCCAAATTTTCTGATGAAAATAGTTGAAGTCGTTAGGTCCTTAAAGCTTCTCCTACATTTTAAGCTGAACAATAAAATAAAAATGAAAAAAGAAGGAAGAAGAAGGTCCCTTTTATGTTATATAAGTTTTTCAATGAATCCTCACCTTTTAGCATTGGATCCGCGACACCAACATGATTTCCATGGTTTTAATCTTAAGAACACTTGGCAGATCAAAATAGATTGTGTACATGTGCCAGAAGTAACCTTTCTATATTTTAGCAATTACAATTCACTTTGAACACACACAGTTATCCAATTTTTCCTATATACAAGACTTTTTTATCAAATCTATTACTTTTCAAGCAAAGTTCAGAATAATATACACCATGAATCTCTGCGCACCACTTTAATATGCTATTATTTTATTGTTCATCAAAATATCCTGTTTCTCCAAGATATTCCATTCCAAAAAGGAATTTTAAAAAAATACCTTAAACCATTCTTTGTTAGAACCTCCAGCTTTTTTATCCAAAGGTGGATATGGTATCCTGTGTGTGAGCAGTCTGCTACAAAACCTATCTCTTTTCTCACGATAATCTATTGCGATAATTGCCCCGTTTCTCAGTCCACATAATATTGTATTTCCCTGCAACAAAAATGTGTGCGCAAAAATAGATGACTAAAGTTTGGTGACATGCAGCTATGCATTAAAATTACATAAGCAATAAAATCTTATTCCCTTTTACATAAGGACAAAGCTTAAAAAGGGAATGAGGGAAAGCCATTTTTGATGATTTCTCAATGCAATTACATTACATAAGCAATAAACTCAGCCTATGTTTATAGCCGATTCCAAGCCTGAGTAAAGAAGGAGGGTTGTGTTAGGCCATCAACAGCCAATGTAAAACTTTGTTGAATCTATTATGAACATGGATAATAGATGTTATAATGCTAATGCTAGGCTGTTGCCCATAAATATCGCGCTGCATGGCTCGAGTACAGTGTTAAGTGAGTTAGAGCCGTTGCATCGGCACCCGGATGTAGTGTTAAATGAGCAAGGGCTACCGTGTCATTCTGGACATACGCGGCTAAAGAAGTTAGCCCATGAGAGCAAGATTAGATTTAGTATTTGAAATATTGGGACATTGAATTATAAATCTCTAGATGTTATAGGGGTTATGATTTAAAAGAAAATCAATATCCTATGCCTGCAAGAAACAAAATGGTGTGGAGAAGAAGCTAAAGATATTCCAGGTTTCAAATTTTGGTGTACAGGAAAAGTAAGCACACGCAATGGAGTAGACATTATTATTGATAAGAAGTGAAAAAAGAACGTTGTAGAAGTTAGCAGAATTGGAGACAGAATTATTTTCTTAAAAATGATAGTTGGACGTGAGACTGTTAATATTGTTAGCACTTATGCGCCTCAAGTCGGGACAGAAGCCAGTCTTAAGGAATTATTTTGAGAGAATTTAGAAGGGTTGATTCAACACATGCCACAAAGTGAAAAGATTTTTATTAGAGGAAACTTTAAAAGGAAAGTTAAGAGGGAGGCTGGTCAGTATGCGAGGGTGCATGGTGGTTTTGGTTTTGGAGAGCCAAACAATGAAGGACAAATTCTTCTTAATTTCTCGTTGGCGTATGATTTTAAAATTGCCAACACTTATTTCAAGAACAGAAATGAGCATCTCATCACTTGCAAAAGTGAAGCCTCAAGGTCACAGATTGATTTTCTTTTAGTTAGGATCACGGATAGAAGACTCTGTAAAAATTGCAAGGTGATTCCTGCGGATGCCGTAATGACACAACATAGGGTTCTTGTCCTTGATGTGTGTATTATGAGTAAAACTCAAAAAGTCGACAAATAGTAGCACCAAAGATTAAGTGGTTGCAATTAAAAGGTGAGAAGCAAGATATTTTCAAGCGGAATCTTTTGGACAAAAGAATTTGGGAATCTCAGGGAAGCACTAACATCTTGTGGGAGGATATAACTAAAAAAATAAGGAAAGTTGCAAAAGTAGTTTTGGGAGAATCAAAAGGTTTTGGTTCGAGAGATTAGGAGTCTTGGTGGTGAAATAACAATGTACAGGACAAAATCAAACATAAGAAGAACTGTTTTAAAGCCATACGTTTGTGTAACAATGATAAAAATTAGAAGAGGTACCGTATGGCTAAGAAGGAAACTAAGAGCTGTGAGTGAAGCTCGTTCTAAAGCTTTTGAAAGATTTTATAAGAGCCTTGAGACAAAGGAAGGAGAACGAAATATTTATAAAATTATTAAAAGTAGGGTAAGAAAATCAAAAGATCTAAAACAAGTAAAGTGTATAAAGGATGAAGAGGGAAGAATTTTAGTTACAGAAAATGAAATTAAAAACAGATGGGAGACTTACTTTTCCAAACTTTTCAATAATAGAGAGAGTTCGTCTAATAACTTGGAGGATTTAGTAACTCATGAAAGAAAATAAAATTTATCATTCTATCAAATAATACGTGATAAGGAGGTAAAGAAAACTCTTAAGAAAATGAAAAATGGTAGAGCCAATAGACCTGATTATATATCTATTGAAGTGTGGAAATGTTTAGGTGAAGAAAAGGTGAGATGGTTAACCAAGTTATTTAATGTGATTTTATGGTCCAAAAAAATGCCTAACGACTGGAGAAGTACATTAATTCCTATTAATAAAAATAAAGGAGATATTCATAATTGTACTAACTATAGAGGAATTAAACTCGTGAGCCACACAATGAAATTGCAGGAGAAAGTAATTGAGCATAGGTTGAAATTGGAGACAAATATTTCTTAGAACCAGTTTGGTTTTATGCCAGATAGATCGACTATAAAGGCGATTTATCTATTAAGGGGATTAATGGAAAAGTATCATTGTAAAGATAAAGATTTACACATGGTTTTTATTGATTTGGAAAAAACTTATGACCATACACCAAGAGAAGTGTTTTGGAAAGCCTTGAAAAAGAAAGGAGTACGGATTGCTTATATTAAAGTCATACAAGATATGTATAAGGGAGTAAAAAATAGTATAAGAACGTCTAGTGGTCAAACAAAAGGCTTTCCTATAAAGATTGAACTACATCAGGGTTCATCTTTGTGTCCTTATTTATTTAACTTGATCCTAAATGTTTTGACAAAACATATTCAAGGGGAAATTCTCAAATGTATACTCCTCACGGATGATATAATTCTTATAGCAGAGACAAGAGAAGAGATTAATTGTAAGCTTGACTTATGGAGGAGAACATTAGAGTCGAAAGGTTTTCATCTGAGTAGGAATAAGACGGAATATTTACATTGTAAATTTAATAAGAGACTAGTCGACAGTAATTTGGAATTGAAATTGAGAAATCAAATTATACCTCAAGTAGAAAAGTTTAGATATTTGGGAGCCATTATTCAAAATGATAGCAAAATCAGTGGGGATATTTCACATAAGATTTAAGCTAGGTAGTTTAATTGGAGAAAAGCTAAAGAAGTTATTTGCGACCGTAAGGTGCCTAGTAAACTTAAACGAAAGTTTTATCATACTACTATTAGACCAACTATATTATATAGTAGTAAATGTTGGGCTTTAACGGGACAGTAAGAACATAAAGTTGAAGTAACAGAGATGAGAATATTACGATAGATGTGCGGACATACACATAAAGATAAAATTTAAAATGAACACGTACGCGAAAAAGTGAGGGTAGAACCTATTGAGGAAAAAATGGTAGAAAATCATTTGAGATGATTTAGACATGTACAAAGAAGATCGCGAGAGGCACCAGTGCGAAGAGTGGAACATATAACTTTGAGCCCTGTTAAGAGGGGTAGAAGAAAGCCTAAAAGAACACTCTTTGAAGTTGTTGAATGTGATCTCTTAATTAATAATATTCCTAAAAGCTTGGTGAATGATAAAGTACAATAGCGTCTTGTAATTCATATAGCCAACCCCACCTAATGGGATAAAGGCTTCTTGTTGCTGTTGCTGTCGTCGTCTCAATGCAATTACGTGAGTCTGCATAGTCTTCATGGTCACCCCTCTCAGAATGTAAATGTTGTTTCAGTATTCGTTTGTTTGAAGCACCATCTACAGCTATTCCTCAACCAACTGCTGAAGGAAAATTTCCCACATCCAACACTTTAACTAGAGAAGAGTACGATGAGTACTTGAGCTTATAGGCTGCTAAATGATCATCCACTGTTGCTTATAGAGAAGACAAGAGATATGGGTGAATATTTCCATTAACCAATAGCCTATGACAGTTAGCCCCTAACCCATCTATTTAAAGGTTAGGCTCTTAACTCACTAATAGTCACTAACCATCTAACTAATCTTTATTAACTAACTTCATACCATCTTTATCGGTCATTTATATTTATTATGATTATTCATCAATACCACCCTCCCTAAATGCCCGTGCCCTCAAGGGTCAAGTACAGCAATAGATGGGTACAGCTTCTTATTTTAACAGAGAAACGTAGGCATTAAACTCTGAAAAATGTTGCTAGCTATTACTGTTCACTTTTCAGTGCTGGAATAAATGGAAGCAACTGAACCAGACTTGATCCCAAAAGCATTTTGATTAATCCTCCTCTGTACCAAGGAGAACAAACAAGAGGGTAGGGAGGAGCTGAAGACAAAGAAATGCCCAATACGACAGATTCCTCAATGGCCAGGTGATAATGTCTTCGAGTGAGATTGAGCCCACACAATTATCCCAATTCAGAAGCTGGTTCGGGTCCATTAAAGATAAAAGATACACCTTCTGCTTCTGAAATTTCCACCTGCATGACAGCTGTGGTTTTGACTTTTCATCTTGTATATGTTGGCGCTGCACAGGCCTATAGTTCCCAAGAGCTCAAAAGCATATTTCCTAATTTTATTTATGTTTTATTTTGTTCTGTTGCGTTAGTTTTTGCATGTCTCAGTTTCAGATTTTTAAGAGATTTAGATTGATTTTATTTTCAGTTTTGATCATATCAATATATCTTGGCCAGATCCCATTTGATTCTAGGGTTTGTGTCACCTCTATAAGTGCGTTCTATGTCATCTGAATAAACAAGTTTTTCAGTCCAGTATCAATAATTCTTCATGGCATCAGAGTGGCTATGACCAAATTCAGATTCGGGCTCCATAACGAAAGCCAGGGTGGTGGCGACACAACAACAGGTAACAACTCTAAACTAGTGATCCCCACAATTGCAAGCCACCAAACGCCAAATGATGCTGCTGCAATAACCATTTACAGATTGAATGGTCAGAGTTATATTCAATCTCACCCCATTCACAGACTTAAAATTTCATCACCACATTCACACCACCAAGGGCACAAACCAATATATCTCACCCGTGTCATAAATCTACCATGAGCCTCCACATTCCTATAACCAGGATAACTCTCCAATCTTTCCAATATATGCAATAAGAAAGTGCAAGAAGCAAAAGGCTAATGTGATAAATAGCGCACAAATGCTTCCCTTGGTCTACACTCGAAACGTTTTATCATATTCATGCATTAATAATTGAATTCAGTATAAAATTTTTACCTGTTTAAAATGTAAGTCTTCCTCCAAATGTTCATGTATTTGATTAATGAAATATAATTTTATAAAAAAATGCCAGACGCAATTTTTACTAGAGATAACTTACTGAGTTAAAAATTTGTTGTGCAAAAACATCACTTTTGCAACGCAAAAACCATGAGGTCTGCCCAGTTTCCAAATCCACGGAAGCAGCTCCAATATTGGTACCTATGAAAAATAAAATACAAAAATGGAAATCTTCCAAAGATTAAAATCAATCATTAAAAAGAAAGTACAACCAAGTAGATTCAAAATTATATATAGTTACATCACAATTATCATATGCACAACCAACCCACAATCAATTCAAGTTGTAGATTTGGAAGGATTTAACATAGAAATAGTTTATGTCTCATATTTTTATTTTTATGTTTTTATATATTTTGGCAAGTGGCTGGTTGCTATTTTAATATCTTTACTTTTACTTTATGTTTCCTTCACGGGAAGGAAATCTCAGCCTATATAATAGCTTAAGAAAGCACTTGTATTCAGATTTGATAAATGAATGTTATGATACCTATCATATTGAGATAGCTCCTCCACCTCCATCTTCTTCGTCTCTGTTTCTATATTTCTCTCATAATCCCTCTTAATTATGTCTCTCTATCCCCCTCCTTTTCTGTTCGTTTCTCGGTTCTCCTTCTCTGTTTCTATATCTCTCCCATAATCCCTCTTAATTTGTCTCTCTATCCCCCTCCTTTTCTCTTCCGCGTTTCTCTCTTTTCCTTCTCTGTCTCTATGTCTCTCCCACAATCCATCTGCTTGCATCAGTTGAAGCGTGTGCTAGTGTTGCATCAGCTATGCTACAACTTAAGACCTTCATGAAGTAAATAGAGCCCAAATTTTTTCCCGTCTATATAATGTGTAGGTTATGGAGAAAGCCAATGTGATAAAAGGCTTGCATTGAGCTGCATGTTTCATTGTTCTGTGGCATAATATTCAAACCTTTTTTGTTGAATTCTGATAATATTGGGTTCCGCTAGATGAACGTGTCACAAATATGTTCTGTACAATGCATAGAAAAAAATTCTATTTTTAACCTCAAGAAGTGGAAAGCCAAAGCCAGACCAAAGATGGAAGCAAAGCATCATTTCTGTTTGCGACCATACACATACAAGAAAATCTAATATGCTGAAATTTAAACAGCAAATACTTTTACTGACATGAGATCAAATTTCTGAAAGAATGGGGTGAAAGGTTCTAAATGGTTCAGTTTATGCAATAAATTGAACCAACCATTATTTTCAACAATCACATATCATGTTCAAGTTTTAAAAGAAAATAGGGAAAAAAAAAAAAAGATTGACCTATGCATGTGCAGGCCACAATTATTGTTAGTTGTACTGGGAAATACTGAACAAGACAAACTGTGAATTGACATTAGGACATGCGTTCATACACGTGAGATAAAGAGAATGTTAAAGCCTAAAGGAAAAGAAAGCAACAGAACTTGCCAATTACAGCTCGAGGATTAGTATTATCATATTCTGCTGTCCAAAGCGTACACTTGAAGGAAGCAACTTCGTGTATGGGGTTTATAACATCAGGATTTAACGGTTCAGCAAGATCCATAATATGAACTGATCCACCTGATGTCTCAGATCCCAGATGAGTAAATCTGTATTGCCATGTTAAGAGTCACTTACCAATAATCCTAACAATTCAGTATCAATAACATCCTCATAACTACTCAGTATGGCATGTTACATTAGTGATGATGGAGATCATACAAATATGTCCAGAATGAACTAAGCCATGCAAAAATACAAACCAATTAGAGTGAAAAATGTATAGAGTGCCTACAAACAATTATATATATAGGTAGGATACAATACACGACGAACGCCTTCATTTTCTGCATGGGAAGAGAACTTTGGACCCAATCTTATACAAGATATTCTGGATCGTTTTTGAATTACACCATAATTTCCAATAACTGATGCAGGCACTTCTTCATGCTTGTATGCTTTTCCTTTAGCATAGCTCTTCACGAAATCTGGCTTCAATGCTATATCAACAACTTGCTCTTTTCTAACCTCAAAACAACTGCAAGCAGTAAATTTGATTGGCAATAAGTAGTAAAAACTATAAACAGTATCAACAATCAATAATTTAAATCAAATTCCATAAAATTATATAAGGATCAAAATATCTGAGGTTTGAATGCAAGTACATAACAAGTGTTGGCCAAGAAATTTGCAGGACCATCAAAAGTACCTATTATACATATCCAGGTAAAATGGTGAGGATTATCACTTCGTTTACAAGGGCAAATATTGCAGGAAAAATTAAGCAAAATTGAAATATCTTAATGTAAGCAGATGCTCTTGATTTAAAGAGAAGGCATTATCTGTTGACAGCATTTGTACCAAGTGCTCAACTCATCCACTGCTAAATAAGTCTCACTGTTCATCCAACTACTGTAAGTACAACACTTAAATGACAGCACGGCACTTCAAAATAAACTGTAAGCCTAAAATACTGACAACATATGTAGTTATCCTAAATGAATGACTTCCTTATCTTCAGATGGTGCTTCCAGTCTTCATGTCTTCTTCCGCCTACAGAGGACTACTATCATTATTTTATACTTGCTACAAGATACTGAATTACACATATACCACAAATGACACTGACCAGTGAAGAAACGGATTACAGGCTCAGGACAACACATAAGAGGAACAAGAAAATAAAGCATCAACTACACAGATCCCAAAGTCGGTTTGTGACAAGATTGAAAGAGTACAAAAAGACTGTGGGACGAGGGGAAGGATCAAGGAAAGCCCACCTTCTAAATTGGAATGGTATCGGCAGACCCAAAGACTGTGGGGGTTTGGGGTTCAAACATGTGGAGGAAATGAATAGAGCATGTGATGCCAGGCAGGAGTGACTCTCTTAGATAATTGCTTTGTTGTACCTGAACAGGCAATCCAGAATTTGAAACACAGCAATACAAAACTAAATACTCAAGAACATAACAAGTTTGCCAACTTTTTCAAAAGGCTGGCTCGCTCTCTCTCCACCCAAACCAAATCCTGACCAAAGTTCTTCTTGCCTCTCCATGCTCTCAGCAAGTCCCTTTATACACCCCCTTTCAACTTTTTAACTTCTCCCTCCTATCCTTCATTATCACTCCCTTATTCTGCTCCTTCATTAATCTATTTTTTGTAAATTGACTTCTGTCTGGACCAATAGTCCATAAGAATAGAAAATTGAATAATTCTTCTAGTGCAACAAAGGCCCACTGAATGTAGAAGCTTCAGGAGAATTTTATATTGAATTATATTACAATTAATAAACTATCTAGCCGCCATGTGTTACAACAGAAAGAATAAAATGAAATGCATCCCATCATAACAACTAAATAAATAATAGATAATTGAATAACAGAATAAAAACCACTATGTTGTAACATCATCAAAGAAATAACTATCATGTACCCAACAAAACCAATTATTATTTATTTGAATATTTGAAATATATAAATTGTATAACTATACTTCAAATTAAATAAAAAGACTATCCATTTAAATAGATTTTTCAATTTTCAATTTTCAATTTCATTTCAATCATCGTGAAAAAAAAAGTATATTAAAGAATGATCAAATGATAAAAGTTCAAAAACAGCAACAAATCCTAAAATTTCACAACAACAACAAGCCTTTATCCCACTAGGTGGGGTCGGCTACATGGATTGCAAGACGCCATTGTGCTCTATCATTTATCAAGCTTTTAGAAATATTATTAATTAAGAGATCGCGTTTAACAACTTCCAAGAGTGTTCTCTTAGGCCTTCCTCTACCTCTCTTAATCGGACTCAAAGTTATATGTTCCACTCTTCTCACTGGTGCCTCCCTTGGTCTTCTTTGTACATGCCCAAACCATCTCAACCGATTTTCTACCATTTTTTCCTCAATAGGTGCCACCCTCACTTTTTCGCGTACATGCTCATTTAGAATTTTATCTTTACGTGTCTGTCTGCACATCCATCGTAACATTCTCATCTCTGCTACTCCAACTTTATGCTCTTGCTGTCCCGTTAGAACCCAGCATTCACTACTATATAACATTGCCGGTCTGATAGCAGTGCGATAAAACTTTCCTTTAAGTTTATTAGGCACCTTACGGTCACAAATAACTCCTTTAGCTTTTCTCCAATTAAACCACCCAACTTGAATTCTATGTGAAATATCTCCACTGATTTCCCCATCATTTTGAATAATGGCTCCCAAATATCTAAACTTTTCCACTTGAGGTATAATTTAATCTTCCAATTTCACTTCCAAATTATTGTCGAATAGTCCTTTACCAAATTTACAATATAAATATTCTGTCTTATTTCTATTCAGACGAAAACCTTTTGACTCCAATGTCTTCCTCCATAACTCAAGTTTGCAATTAACCTCTTCTCTTGTCTCTGCTATAAAACTATATCATCCGCGAAGAGCATACATTTCGGGATTTCCTCTTGAATATGTTCCGTCAAAACATTTAAAATCAAGTTGAACAAATAAGGACTCAGAGATGATCCCTGATGTAATCCAATCTTTATAGGAAAATCTTTTGTTTGACCACTAGGCATTCTTATACTAGTTTTTACCCCCTCATACATATCTTGTATTGCTTTAATATAAGCAATCCGTACTCCCTTTTTTTCCAATGCTTTCTAAAGCACTTCTCTTGGTATACGGTCATAAGCTTTTTCCAAATCAATAAAAACCATGTGTAGATCTTTATCTTTAAAACGATACTTTTCCATTAATCCCCGTAGTAGATAAATCGCCTCTGTAGTTGATCTACCTGGCATAAAACCAAATTGATTCTTAGAAATACTTGTCTCCAATCTCAACCTGCGCTCAATTACTTTCTCCCACAATTTCATTGTGTGGCTCATGAGTTTAATCCCTCTATAGTTAGTACAATTCTGAATATTTCCTTTATTTTTATAAATAGGAATTAATGTACTTCTCCTCCACTCATCAGGCATTTTCTTGGACCGTAAAATCACATTAAATAACTTAGTTAACCATCTCACCCCTTCTTCACCTAAACATTTCCACGCTTCGATAGATATACAATCAGGTCCGTTGGCTCTACCATTTGCCATTTTCTTAAGAGTTTCCTTTACCTCCTTATCACGTATTATTCGATAGAATGACAAATTTTGTTCCCCTTCACCAGTTACTAAATCCTCTAAGTTACTAGATGAATCCTCTCCATCATTGAAAAATTTAGAAAAGTAAGTCTCTCATCTATTTTTAATTTCATCATCTGTAACTAAAATTCTTTCCTCTTCATCCTTAATACACCTTACCTATTCTAGATCTCTTGATTTTCTTTCCCTACTCTTGGCAATCTCATAAATATTTTGCTCTCCTTCCTTCGTCTCAAGGTTCTTATAAAATTCTTCAAAAGCTTTAGAACGAGCTTCACCCACAGCTCTCTTAGTTTCCTTCTTAGCCATACGGTACCTCTCCCAATTTTCTTCATTGTTACACAAATGTATGGCTTTAAAACAGTTCTTCTTATACTTGATTTTGTCCTGTACACTATTATTCCACCACCAAGACTCCTTATCTCTCGAACCAGAACCTTTCGATTCTCCCAAAACTACTTTTGCAACCTCCCGTATCTTTTTAGCCATATCCTCCCATATGATGTTAGCACTTCCCTGAGATTCCCAAATTCCTTTATTCAAAAGATTTCGTTTGAAAATATCTTGCTTCTCACCTTTTAATTGCCACCATCTAACCCTTGGTGTTACTACTTGTCGACGTTTTTGGATTTTACTCATAATACACACATCAAGGACTATGACCCTATGTTGTGTCGTTACAGCATCTCCGGGGATCACCTTACAATTTTTACAAAGTCTTCTATCTGTGTTCCTAACCAAAAGAAAATCAATCTGTGACCTTAAGGCTCCACTTTTGTAAGTGATGAAATGCTCATCTCTCTTCTTGAAACAAGTGTTGGCAATCTTAAAATCATACGCCAATGAGAAATCAAGAAGAGTTTGTCCTTCATTGTTTAGCTCTCCAAAACCAAAACCACCATGCACCCTCGCATACTGACCAGCTTCCCTCCCAACATGCCATGATAAATTCACAAGTAATAACAAATATAAAAATGACATTTATGACATGATAAATTCAAAACACTAACCTGAAAATTTACTACTGATGTTGTAAATGCTTTTCAATTTTTTTAATAAGAAAGTTTCACTTAGATGTCGCTAATAACCTATAAAATTTATGATCCTGCTATGATTTATGCCGAACAAACTTTTAACCTCCAGCAAAGACATTCCAGCTTTTAACTGAAACACGGTATCATTTCCAAATCACAAAATCCCATCAAAACCTCAGTAAGTTATTTTGATTAAGTTATTATATAGTTCATTTTACTTCTTTCTGTCCATAAATCCATAGATATTGTCAATACAAATATGACCTCAAAATTATAACATCCAGATAAGTTCTAGTTTCAAGAAAAAAGTTTGATAATAAAAGATTGCCAAAAAAAATAATACAAGACAAGAAAGACAAAACTAGAAGTTACCATAATGAGCCATCCAAGTTGCCTGACAATAAAACATCAGATTTAACCACCCCCTCTAAAGTATCTACATCAATGTTCATTTGCTCCAAAGCACAAATATCGATCCCATCTGCTAACTGATATTTCCAAACCTGCAATAAGATATACAGTATACTTTCAATTTTGGCAATATGATGCATTAACAATGCAAATTATGTGCCATCACTTTTAATCTCTCAGGGGACATTCTTTAGCTGTTAACTGGCTCACTAATGTCTCATAGGTTTTATGCTTTGGCTGAAACATATGGGCATGGGTTTGAGCTGGTTGGTCCTTTGAAACTGTCATTCTCCCAAGAAGTTATAACTTAATACATGCAAAGTAGAATATACGATTTTGTGCGCTGTACAATTTGAAGATTTGAAATTTTGGAATCAGATAGGAAGATTTGTACTTAGGAAATATACCATAGGTTGTGATGCTTGTATTTTTTGCAATTCCTCCTTGAAGTTGCATTTCCATCTGTGAGACTTAATGATATCACCATTTAACTCCCTAGCATGAAGCAGTTTCAATGTTTTCTTCTTAAGCTTCCTACAAGAGCTCCTTTCCTGTGATTAACATGAATCAACAATCAGTATTTACATTTAAATATAGTTAAAAATCAGAATAAAATCAAGGATAAACAATATCCAATAAAAACAAAGAAAGACAAATAATACTAGAAATAGAATAAATAGCATTGCAGTAGTCGCAAGGCTCCACATATTTTACTTCACAAAGATATTATCCAACCCCCACCCCCTAATTTTTTTTTTTTCCTAATTACTTGCATTTGATCTAATAAAATTTTTTTTTCAATCATTGACCAAAACTTTATTCAAGGACTATTTGGAAAGCATAGATAATCCACACAGGAGACAAGTAAGAGAATCCTTTTGAAGTGTCCGCTACAGCATATTTATAAAGCCAAGAATCCCAAAGTTATACAAGACACATTTCCATCTCATTCATTTAACTTCCAACTTTTACTTTCCACTTTCATTTCATGTAAAAATTATGATTCACCCCATTCATTTCAAGTGAATAAAAAAAAATCATGAGATGAGTAAAGGTCACTTATTGTAAAAGAAGGAAGTTAAAATATGATGAGGACAACTCATCCTGCTACAGCCATAAAGAGTTATTGCAGACAGAAAAACGGTAAAAAGAGGGAAAACAGGGCTGAAACTGATGGAAAACAAACCATACAAGGGTTTATGCTCCAAGAAGCCAGAGGTAGTGAATTGAAGGACTTGGAGAGGCTAGCAGCCTTTCCAAACCAGCTTCCATTGCTTCATTTCTTTCTTGTGATCAGAGAGAGTATTGTGCAGTGAATTTTTTTTTTTTCTTTTTTGGTTGGTTTGAACCAATGATTTTGTTCTAATGGACTAACTTCTTTGCCCGCATCCATCCAAAAAAAAATTGTGAGAACCCTTGCTCATTTAACACTACATCATCAGAGTCTAGCTCATTTCTTCTTATTTTGAAACAGTTTTTTTTTTATTTTAAATGGAATTTCACAAGAAGCATTGTGAGAATAATGTGCGTTTGATAAAAACATTTAATAAACAGTTTTAACAATATTATCGTGTTTGACAAATTTTTACCACTGTCACATTAGCGTAGAGCGTGAATTTAAGAGGGTAGGTGAAAAAGACTGAAGGTCGTTATAGTAATCAATGATGCTAAGAGAGGGTACAAATTGCTTCAGCTTCAAGAAAGAAGCTTCAGTGGCTCAAAAAAATTATAAGAAATCATTAAAGAGAAGAAGCTTCAACTTTCTGCTTCTTTACCCAGCAGAAAAACTGCTTCTGCTACGAATTAGATTTGGTTTATTTTATAATAAAAGCTAGGCCAAACGCCTCATTAGGCTGACTAAAACAAGTACTTATTTGAGCCAAGCAGGCTATTAATATCAAGTCGTCTTTAAGTGCGGGCAAAAACTGACTCAAAATCAGCATATACGGTAAGGAAAAAGGCAAAGCATCATCAGACAGAGACAAAAAGTAAATTAAAGAAAGTAAACAAATAATTCAATAAACACAAAAAGAAACAGTTTAATTTGAATTAAATACAAACCTCTGAGCATTCTGGATAAAAATTTATGTTTCAACTTTGATTAAACATGCAAGAAACCCAATGATTTAAATCCTTCTCGAATGTTTGATAGGGCAAATATAAATACCTGAGTGGACCTTGGGGTTGATTTCGTAGGACCAAGCTTAGCAGAAGAAGATCGAGAAGATCCTGGTATGGGGCCTTTAATGGGGAAATACCTATTCTTCTCTGCGTCGTAATAAAACCCTGGAAGCTCTGTTGCAGAATAACACAAAACATTACAGAAAAAGGAAAAGTGAACAGTATCCCAAGTATAGGGGACCGTGTGAAAGCGAAACGAAATAGCACCTTTAGGTGGTGGCATATCTTCGGCAGAACAAGAAAGACCGTGCACTCACTGCATGATTGCGTGCGATTGTGAAACGAGAAAGAAAGGCGAGGAGATATACACAACGCAACAGAGAGAATCGGGGAAAGCAATAATGGCAGAAACAAAGCGCAACGGTCATCCGCCGTCACAGGTTTTCAGGCGGTGGAATCACAGTGGAGAATGGGAGCGCGGACCAACCGGCACACAAGGGAAAGCTCAAACCATGGATCATAAATAATAAATAAATTAAATTATTTAATTAAAAGAAAAAATAACAATAAAATCCTCCAAAAATATATAAATGATAATTTGGTCTCTCAAAATATCATAATTTTACTGAAATTCTTAAGTAAGAATTTTTCTGTCATTAATAAATTTATATAAATGATCAAATTACATTTGTTGAAAATAAAGTGATTCACAAGTTTTGTTTAAATAATCACAACTTTTTTTCTTATATTCGCAACAATGCAACAACAAATCAGAACTTAACATGTGAAGTTATAATTTGCTGTTATAATGTTACGAATATAAGAAACAAAGTTGTGATTATTTAAACAAAAATGTAAATCATTTTATTTTTAATAAAGTTAATTTGATCATTTATATAAATTCATTAATAACAGAAAAGTCTCCAGAGACTGAAGTGAAATTATTACATTTTGAGGAATCAAATTGTCATTTATATATTTTAGAAGAATTTTATTGTCATGTTCTCTAATTAAAATATTTATACTTATAATTTATAATAATAATTTATACTCACTCCATTCAAAAATGTAAGGCATTTTTAATCGAATTTCACCCTCTAATAAAGTAGTTACTTACTTTCAAAATAACCCTATTTTTTTATATTTACCTCTATTAATTACCCTACAATAAATATAAAGTCATTCATTAATAGGGGTACTTTTGAAAAAAAACAATAATTACACTTCAAAAGACTAAAAATGCCTTACATTTTTTAATATTCAATTTCTCAAAAAATGTAATAGAGGAAGTAGATATAATTGTATATTCATGTTAATATTAATAATTAATAAATTAAGTTAAAAATTAGAATAATGATAAAATAAAGTAAATTAATAGTAACTAGTTTGCATATAACGATAAATCCAAACAACTAAAATGTTAACTCTTATCTCAATTGTGCACCATCTACTCTTAACTCTAACTTCTAAAATTCATTCATCAGATCATCACTCTCTACTCTATGCATCATCGCCTCTCCTTCCTTACCAATCCATTCATCAAACCATTGCTCCCCATTCCATTTAGTTCAATTTGCCATTTACTTGTTGGATTGGAAAGATTTCATTTCACAAATTGAAAATTTAATAATATGTGTTAGAAATATAAAAATTTAAAATATCTATAAGTATTTCATGAAAAATGAGAGAACTTTTAAAATATTCATAGATGTCTTCCCAAATAGGTAAGAAATGAAATTACTAACTTCCCAACACTAAACCTCAAAAGGTTTCTTGATAGTCTAGGAGAAGAGTCTGAACACTAACGAAGGATGAGGGGTAAAGAAGAGTCATATGAATAGAGGAAAAGGAACCTAAGCACGGCAAAGCTACGAGAGATTCTCTTCTTCTTCAACAAGATACGATAGGGGCATTAAGTACTTTGTTTTGGTGATAACAAAACTCAAGTAAAGTTTTCTTCTATGTATATTACATAATTATTCATCACAAAACCAATTCAAGAGAGAAAAGGATCAAGATCAAGAAAAGCTTAATTTATAGGTTTTTTTAATATTTATGTTTCTCTTAGATTAATTGTTAAAAACCTTGAATCATGAGATCTTGCATATACATTAATTATTAAAAACCTTTAATATAACTCTTAGGCTCACACGCACTCACGGATTTCTATCTTAGAAAATATCTTTGTGCATTTCATATTCTCAACTTCTTCTTTGCAAGAGACCATCTTGCCCACATGAATTTTAGCTAAATGCCATTAATTGTTCTTTGAGTAATGCATGTCATACTCATGAGGTTCCAAGTATTCCCTCATGAGATTTAGAATTTCAAAACACCTTTAATTCTATGATGTTCAAACATGCAAGTTCTAGTATAGTGCATGCAAGTTTTAGAGCTTAAGAAGAGAAAGAACTTCATTATACTCTAACGCACAAGGGCATGATTAGTACCAATGCAAGTTTTGAGTTCCAAAAGAGAACTTGGTCTTGAGCACTTAGAACATGCAAGGTCTAATTGTGACCCACGCAATTTTTGGTGCATCAAGGAAAACTAAGGTTATAAACTTCTTATCCTCACAAGGTTAAAGTTCTTAGCTTCATGAGTTGAGTTCTATTTTGCAACTTAAGTTCTTGAACCTTCTCATCCTTGCATTGGCTAAATAAGCCACTATTTTTGTATGTAACTCAAGTTTGCCTAAATTTGAGCTTTGAACACCTGAGCCTTGTCAATCCATTCTAAATGTTCAAAACTTATCTTTGTCACACTCATGAGGTCTAGATTGTACACCCACATTTTTCATTGCATTCAAGAGGTCTATCTGATAGAATATGAGATAATAGTTAATTAAGATAATTATGATTTATTTAAAATATTAGGATTATCTATTAGAGATATTTGAATAAGGATTTTATCCATTAAAATTGAAATTTATTATTTATTTTATTGTTATCTTAGATATTAATATTTTTAAGATTAGATTTAGATTTAGGATTTAGGATTTAAATTTAAATTTTTATTATTTTATTATTTTCAAAGCTCTATAAATAAAGCTAGATTTTTCATTTGTATTCACTCTTTGAATATTATTGAATAAAAGTTTTTGAAAGTTTTATCCTTTCCCCTCCTTCCTTCTCTCTCTTCCTCTTCTTTATCTTCCCTCTTCCCTTCCCATTTTACATCAATTTGGTACTAGAGCTCAGTTTCACCTCCCTTCCTTATGTTGCTTTTCTTGTTGAGATCCATAAAATAATTTAGATCTTCCCTAAAGCCACATATCATCATACAAAATATTTGAAGGGTAAGTTTCAATCCATATATTCATGATTTTATATGGGATATTACCATGAATGCCCATGCAGGGAGTGCCAAATTACCATGGCACCCTACCTCGATGTGTTGGACATCCGCAATATAGCGAAGGCTACCAGAGGAAACTAATTAGAAAACGATAATAATATTGGTATGCATATGACCGATGGTGTGGTTATGAAGCACATCATAAGTTTGAATACGCACGACAGTTTGCTGAGGATGAAAGTTTTGATACTAAATTTGAAAGGCAAATAGCTGAAGTCAAATGCTGCAATGTTGAATCTAATGCTAAATTGAGACATCAAATTCAAGAAGGTGTACATTTATCTAAAAAAAAAAGAAAACTTTTCAAAAAATTTTGGAATCACTAAATCAACAAAAACAAGCAATCAGACAAGAAGAGGTTGAAATTCCTACCTTAAATTCAGAGGAGTCTATAGTAACCTTTGTGGAGCTTAATTATGAAAGTGGTATATCCATTCTAGCACCTTTACCGCTATAGGTTCCATTAAAAAGTCAAATGAAAGCTCCTCTACTTCCTGTACAAGTGGCACATTCCCAAGTTGTGATTAGCCAAAACCAACCTCACCTTACTACAAATTCACCTCATCTATAAGCTACACTTGTTAAGATTGTCCTGTCACTTAATAGAAAGCTTCAATAGTATCTTGTCTACAAGAAAGGTTTTCTAAAGATTCCAAATGATCAATGGTGCCTTCCATAAGATGCAGTTCGTTGCTACCTCACTTGTGGAAAGAATTTCCAAATTTATGCACATGGATGAATCTTTAGAAAACCTTTCCTATAAACAAGATACTGTTGAAGCTTTCTATTAAGTGCAGGATATTCTTAATAGAAAGCTTTAACCTTTCCCATATAATTCACACGACCACGCGTCGGTGACAATCCCTACGCGTGACTTCACACACTGACGTGCACAGTGCCCAGAATCTAAAATTTTTTTACGTTTTGGGTGCCTTCATAGATTTTTCTATAGTTTTAAGAAACTTGAGGGTCCCAAATCATCATTCAAAGCATTATTTGGGTTAAAAGTACAACTTTTAGGCTTTTAAAGCCTTGTTGGTAAGCTAATGACCCTCCCAAAACTTATTAGTTCATTATTTTTTGTGTTTTTTTTTTTTGCATGGTGTCTTTTATTCATACCTATCTTATATGGAATACATTATTTGTGAGAGTTTAGTTTGTGTTTATTATGTCCTGAATCAGTAATACTTGCCTTGAGAAATCTTATAGAGCTGGTAAAGAAGATGGGAAAAGAAAAGATAATAGTTCAAGTAATACATGGATAGTAAGGTTGATGAAATCTTAAGAGCTCTTAAGTGTGTACATGAATGTCGTGTTGTAGGAAAAACTTTATCAAAACCTAGAAGAGATCATGATTCTTTTATGGTGTTAGAAAATAGTATCCTCATCAAAAAGGCTTTACCTATATCAATCACATAAAAAAAGGATGCTAACAACATTAATGGTCTCAAAATTGGAAGCTCAATTATGGAAGAAGTCAAGGCAATAACTGAGGCTAGCACAAATGTTATTAAGAAATAAGAGAATGATGTTGATTTAGAAGAAAGGCCTATGAAATATGAAAGCATAAGTCTTAAATCGAATCAAGGTTTGAAATTGGTGGCTAAAGATCTTGAATCACAAGCCTTAGAGATTTATCAAGTTAGAGATCTTGACAACAGGAGTATTCAACTTTGTCAAATTCCTACTTCCAATCATCCATGTGCTACACCATTTATTGGAAAAGAAGTTGTGGTTATTAAAGATCATGTTATTTTCCCATTTGATAACAACCTTTACAACTACCTTGTTCATTGAGAAGGTTTTCCAAATCACTATGATCATATTGCTTACTCTCTACATAGTCTTATCTTTTACTACCTTGTATGTTGGAAAGGATCTCTAAATTAGTTGCTACTGGGAGGAATTCCCTACATCGTGCTTTAGTAGAGTTACATCAACTTTTTTTAACTATCTGGAGGAGAGTTCCATCAAGCAGGGAAGCATGATGAAATGTGAGAATAACATATTTGAAGAAACCTGGGTTAGTAGCTTATTATCATTGTATGTTACTTGAAGGAAACCTATCTAGGAAGAAATAAGTTACTTTTGTGTTACTTTAATACTTTTGTAAAGAAGGAAATCTAAACATTATCTTTATC